GTTTTATATAACTATTTACACACGAACCTAAATTACATGGAAGTTATAGGTCATTGAAAAAAAAAGTAATATTAACAAATGCATTAGCAAAATATATACATATAGATATATACTTGTAGATAGATGCATAATAAGGGAAATAGAGACGGGATTTATCTCAAATTTGATCAATAAATTTTCGTTTGCCGACTAGTATTTCAACGATTGTAAATCAAAGAACTGAGATTTAAAAAATAGTCTTAAAGACGATTTTGGACTGAATATTAAGAATGGGTCTTACGACTTTAATTCAGTCTAGAATCGCCCTCAAAAAATATGTTTTTATTTTATTTCTTTGATTGACAGTCGTTGAAATCTTAAATGCTAGTCGGCGAACGAGTAATCAAACTTTGCAGGTCGCACTTCAACGATGATGGTAGTAACTTTTGACCGGCAAAGACGTCACTTTGCTTTTTTGCTTTTTATTTTATTTATTTATTTTAATATTCTAAATGTAGGAGATATTTTACGCTGTGTAATGAACGTGTGGGCTCTACTACTCGTGTTCTTGGCAGTATTAGTCATTCAAGCTGAAGGTAGGCTTCATGGACTAATGTCATTGTTCTGCTATATCAATCAGACTAACTCTTGTTGGAATTGAACTTATAAGGCCGGTTTAGACGGTACGATTTCCGCCTACAACTATTGTATACAACACGCTCGCGTCTGTCGTAGGCGAGTTGTAGGCTTGATTTACACGCTACGACTTGAGTCGTAGGATGGCGCCAGCGTGTTGTATACGATAGAAGGCGTCCTACTTTGGAACGTTCGATTTGAACCCATGAGCGTGCGCACGCACGAAATACGCTCAAAACCGCTGATTTATTATCAAAATTATAAAAGGGATCACACTGCACGTCTTGAGCTTCAACAGGGCAAAACGGGAATATATATTTTTTCCTTACATCTACTAAAACAACGGGTAAAAAGCAATATTTTTGTCAACGTTAAAAAGCGTAATTACTTAAACTAAGAAAATATGAACTAAGAGAGTGAATCCCCGCGCCCCATCATGAGCACTCTTTGATGCTATTTTTAGAATTGTTGATGCTATTTTTAGAATCATTGATTTGATCGTTCGTTTTTCTGCTGCACGCACGTACTGCGCGCTGTACCCTTTTTGCTCATCTATCTATGTTCAGTCGAAATATTCCTTTTGGTTTTAACTCTTTTTTTATCTCTTTGCGTGCAAGCAAAAACAAAGCTGTCGGGGAGTTCCTCTTTTATGCTGTACCTCAATTTATATATTTAGTATTTGTTCAGCTTAAAAATATAAGAATAAAACCCCAAAATAAAATGCCTTACTTTTCGTGGTACTAGAAAACAACTGCCAATAATCTGTTGGTAAATTTTGTAGGTAGCAAACGTAAAAAGACCATGCCAAAGTCAAGAGGTTTGATGAAGAACGGATTTAAAAAGGTGAAGTATATTAACCCTACATTGGGTATAACAAAAATATTCTGTTACATTGGTATTTATTAATGTAATGATCTCGTTGATGAAGAATTTCATTATCTTAGAGAGTGCAAAAAGAAAAAGAAATCGAGAGAGACCCGGCTTTGAAGAGAGACGAAGACGAATATTCTTGTAAGTAAGTCAGAATGTTTTGTTTTGATTAATAGAGCGTTTTCACTCACGTGAGAAGGCAGCCATAAACAATAGAAACTTTCTGCACAGTATTTGCATAAAAATAGAGTTCAATTCCCTGAGGATAGAAAATGTATCGTTTTGGTACCCCATAATGGTGGGTAGGTGGGTAGGTGGGTAGGTGGGTAGGTGGGAAAGTGGGTAGGTGGGTAGGTAGGTAGGTGAGGGAGTGAGGGAGGGAGGGACGTAGGTAGGTAGGTAAGTAGGTAGGTTTTGACCATTAACAAAATATAAATTTCCTCATCGTTTGATTATTGGATATAATGTTGTTGTTTTATCCAGTAAGCCGTTTTCAAGGTGCAATCAATGATGTAAAAAGGATCGTTCAAGAGAAGTTCAAGGAAAGAGCTTCAGTGCGCTCAATAAGATGGATAACAAAACTGGAAAGAGAATGGGATGCACAAGAACTGGAAGAAAGGAAAGCAAGAGCCAAAGCACTGGATACTGTGAAGAAAAATATCATAGCTCTTGGAGATGGCGCTGATGACTCAAACAAAGCCATCAAAGGAGTTCTGAGTTTGGTAGAAGGAGCTGCGTCGTTAGCTGGACCTCTAGGTGAATTAGTTAGCGTGGGAGCCATGTTTGTCTCGAGTTTTCTGAGCATGTTTGGCCACACTAAAAAGCCAAAACCAATGGCAGTGATTGTGAGGGAACAGATCAATGCCGCACTAGAGGAATTCTTGGAAGAAGTCATATCCAACGAAGCTGAGGCTGCTGTCATGGCCTTTAGAAGTGCTAAGGGATACGTTGATGCCTTAGGGCAGGATAACGACAAGATCCCTGATGATGATGTCGACGCTCTGGCTTCCAATGTTCCTGCAAGAGAAGGAATCAGCATTATGTCAAAGTTGTTTAATTTCATCGAAGACATGATTGAAGATAACAGACCTAAAGATGCCCGAAAGTGCTTCAGATACTTAGAGCTCTATCTACGACTGGCGACCTTAAGGAAAATGATTCTCATGCAAGTAGTGTCCCTAATTCCAGAAACTCGTAATATTACAGCACAAGGATACATCGGATCTATGAACGTGATCTTAGACGAAACAGAGTACATGCTTAACTTCCTCCACGACCTTTCTCTCCAAAGCAAACTAATGCCATACTTCGATGGTGATAGATACTTCCAAACTGCAGCGTATTTAAAAATAGAATTGAATTTAGAAAGGCCAAATCCGTTTCCTGGTTTGCACTGCATAGACCCTGATGATACTTATTCTTTTGGATGGGTCAAGCAAGATGGACTTAACCCTCCAATGTTGCACCCTATTGCCACCATCACTCCAAAACGTTGCTCCTGGAAAATAATTGCCCATGGAAACGATCAATTCAGCATTGTCAACAAGTACGACTGCCCAAATGATGCTTGGTGTGATTCTTTGCTGTCCATCGATCCGAGGCCAGGGAAAAAGACTATAGTTGGTTTGGAAAAGGAGGACCCCGTGATTTGGGCTATTTTGAAGAATCCAAGATCTCAAGAGGATAAGTACTTGTAAGAGAAAATAAGTAGAATGAATAAGCTAGACGAAAACTTTATATGTGTAATGAGTGTTTCAGTGTTTGAGTGAACTTCAAAAAAATTAAATGTATGGGTTAATGGGTAGGTGGTTACGTGAGATAATGGATGGATGAAAAGATGAGATGGGTAAATGGATGCATGCTTGAAAGGGGTGGATGCATTGATGGATGTGATGAATTGATAGATGCATAGATAGATAGATGAATAGATATATGGATGGATTAGATAAATGGATGGATAGATTGAATGGGATGGATGGATGCATAGAACGATGCATTTACGGATGGATGGATGAATGGATGAATAGAATGATGCATTCACAGGCGGACGGACGCACGGACGAACGGACGCACG